ACCTAGGAGTACCTACCTACGTAATAAATAATTAAAAATGATTAGAAAATGTAACTTGTAGGTTTGTAGCCGATTCCAATTCTTTATAATTTCAATTTATGAAACTTTTTTTTTATTATTTATAATATAAATGTATTTAAAATCTGTAATATAATTATGCAATAAGTAAATTTGAGATTTKTTTACAAGRTTTGGAAGCTTGAGTGAAGGGTGCGTCCATTGACATAACTTCAAACTGGTTTTTTTTTTTATTTAGCGAAGTATTTCACGAGGCCAATTTCGTTTTAGTCGACGGGGAGGGTTGAATTTATGAAACTTATAATTTAAAGGTGCATATGGAGGATCTTAATCGTATACTGAAGTAATTTAATGCAACATTTAACTTTTAAGTAGTTATGTACTAAAACGAAATTGGCCTCATGATTTACTTCGCTAAATAAAAAAAAAAAAAACCAGTTTAAAGTAGTGTCAATGGACGCACCCTTCACTCAAGCCTCCAAACCTTGTAAAACAATCTCAAATTTACTTATTTTATTATTATGTTACAGATTGTAAATATATTTATATTATAAATTATAATAAAAAAAAAAAAGTTGTCATGTAAAATCTTCCAAAATCCAGATACACCATGTATACTGTAAAGTATTTACAATATTTTGATTGCATCTGTCTACACAGTTTTCCTGTTAGTTTTATATAAGTGTATACTGTTGCTATTATTTAATATTTGTATATTTACAGATACTTTAATGTCAAAGGTTAAACTATAGATATTAACACGAGATGAAACTCAAAATGGAAGTTTATGGAAACTACGGACAATGTATGTATGATATGTTGACATGTCGTTGTTCTATTGCTGCTGCAAAGTAATATAATAATAATAATAATAATGACAGGTTAGATACGTTTGCCATGACTTATTCAAACTAATTAGTAATTAATTACATACGATGATATATACAGATTATATAGTATTACAGTAACGAAAYGTGAGATTTAAAGGTGGTTTCAGAATTAACTGTTTTATAGTTTAAAAGTATGAAATACAATAGAATTCAGAGAACTGCAGATATATGAAATGTAATATTATATATATATATATATTTATATTTATTTATTATATAATATGTAAGCACTCAGTGCGCTGATATTCTCCTTAAAAAGTTATGATACTATAATAAATGGTCACTAAATAATCATTATATTTAGGTATTTAATATTTATATACTTAATACACTGATTTTAAATTGGAACTATAAAATATAAACATTAAACAATTATTTTATTAATTTAGTTAAATAAATAATATTATATTATGCGGTTCTCTTACTGCGTTAACTTTATACAAAACAAAATGTCATTCACACATTATTTAGAAGGAAAAATCATTAGGTAATAGAAATAATATTTTAAAATCATTTTTAAACAGCAGTAAGCAGAATGATATATAATTACATTATAGGCATAAAATAATATTCCATATAAAAATGCAATATGTGCCTCTGTAATGTATTTTTTAGTGTCATTTATCAATGGATTAAATGAAAAATTGATTCATAAAAAATTGAGTGAAAAATATATATTATTCGCCAAATAAAATATAGAAGAATGTCTAAAGTCTTGACAGTTTTGTCAATCATCAATATTTATATAAAAAAAAAACTTCGCAAGCGTATCATCGAAAATATGCTATACGTTTATATCGTGAAGGAAAAAAAATCAAGATAGGATGACTTTATATTACTTTAATATATTTTTCATGTTTTACTAAATATTATGTAAGTAAATTATAGCCTGCGTGCAAGCAGACATTTAAATATTTAAATAAGTATTTGTAAATTAAAAATGAATTAGTTAATGATTAAAAATAAAGTTCTAAATAATATACAAAAATATTATCAGTATTTACTATAAATAAAATGGTTGAATTTCATTTTAATTTCGATTATTCATGATCAGTGTACCGTAATTTTTAACTCTGTCATAAAGTAAGTCTTCTATTAAATTATAAAGCATTCATCCCATTCACTGCACAATGGCTTTCAGTGCAGGGTGACAGTTTGTTACATTGCGTTCATTTACTTKTACAATATATTTATATATAATATAAGATGCGTAGAAGTTGTTAATTTTCATTAGCAGCATCCGTCTGCAGCAGCTGTCTATATATTGTGTACATTATCACATTATACATTTTTTTTTAAATTTTAAACTTCTACGAGGGATTGATTAATTGAGAAAGATAGAACTATATATAATTGAACACTGAACGAGAGATAGAAGAGGAACAGATGAGTAGTATAATTTATATAATCTTATATTGTTATTATGGTGTATTGGACCGATTGCAATATTTTGAAAGAAAAAAGAATAAATGAAACATTTTAATACTGCAGCCTACAAAGGTCATCAAGATAACCCGGCTTGAATCTTACGCGCATAGCACACAGTGCCTAATTAATRATAATCTACTATCTATAGATAAATTTTTTTTATACAATGAGGTATTCAAAATATTGAATCTAATGTTGAGTTATTAAGAGTTCAAAAGGTATTTTAAATTTTCAAATATTTATAGTGTTTATTTGATGTTGATAAAAAGTATCTTTTTGTTTGAAAAAATCTTGAATATGTAATACAAAGTTTCTCATGAGTTGTTCTTACAKAAACTCAAAAATATTGAAAATATATAAATAATATGTTTATACCAGCGGTTCCTCGTACTGTGCTGCAGAGGCGCTGCGCTGCCATCGAATGTTATCAATTTATCATCCATCCCATTAATTTAATATATACAAATAAATATATACYTAAATCTTAATATAACTAATATCTTATAATTTATGTATAATTACAATTAAATAAATATTTTCATAATATATATTACAAATTGTTCTGGATTTTTATTTTTTCTTATGAAGGASACCATGTAAACCCCTTATTTCAAAAAAGGGTACCGTGAGCCAAAATAGGTTTGGGAACCGCTGGTCTATATAACATTAATTTATTATATACGTATACATTTTGAAATTCAAATTTTAGTCAAAATACGATATTAAAATTTTCAACGAAAAGGTTTAGGGTTTTTCTAACATTGACGCCCTTTTCTTCCGTTAAAAAAACACATTTACGCCACTGTAACACAATCCAAGCCAGTATAGACAGTATAGTAGATCCATATGGATGTTGTCTGTGGATTAAAATGGGAATGGCATGTAGAAACGGTTTTTTTTTTATAAATCTATATCAAGATCGTGTGAATTTAACGCGTTTTTTCTTCGAATATAGAGAAAAATTTGCCATGTTAAACTTTATGGCCACCCCAAATTATATAAACGAAACACATCATAAAATCTAAATGGCTCTAMTCAGAACCCCAAAAAACGTTTGCAGAAACGACATCCATCATCACTATGACACTATATAATACCAAAAAAAATAATTCGTGTAAAAAGTGTAAAAATCACTACGAAGTATGATAATTAGAACATCGGTATTGTTTTAATCATCGTGTAATATTTACAAAGCATTTAATTAATACCACCGCGTCACCTTCCTGTCGTTAAATTCGCTACCCAATTTAATGAAATGACCAAGCGTGTTCTCCAAATATAATAAAGTATAAACAYGCGTCTGGGGAACAGCATTTACTACTTACAATACTTGCTGTAAACTGGTGCAATATTATACAAGTATACAGATTAAAGGRCGTATGTAATGTACAAAGTGTATCTGAATACTATTATAATATGAAGGGGTGTAGACTTTGATGCGTTTCTTTATCGAGTCGATCATATTTTTTCGACACGTTTCTGTAAAATATTATAATAGTGAACAATTTAGAGATATATAAACTGCAGTGTACTCGTAAACACAAATCGTTTACCTACATTATTATTAATACCTATACCTACTATTATTATCACCACACTCTTCGACGGCGTGCAGCAGTAGTCGTCTAGTGCATATAATACGCAGCATGCGTGCGTATACAGTACGTCAATTATAAGACGGCTGACACACGTAATTTTGCGACTAATAAATATATGAATCCCGAGAATGAATTTTGAGAGAATAAAATGAAATATTTTCTCATTATACATAGATATTATCATAATGTCGTCGTCTACACAGAAAAGTGAGAATGGACGAGAGAGAAGATGGAGGCACACTCACAGCGGCATTTTGATATATATTATATCATACAGAGTGATTCACCAGATTTGCTCATCCCCATTATTCCTTTAATAATAATTAATTCTGATTTATGAAATWTGTTTCGAAATTCAAATGAGTAGTTTATGGATTATTTATAGATTTATGTACTATGGATATTGTCCATGATTATAAGTTTAAAKATCATATTATATAGTATACGAGAGCTAAAATTTTTTGAAAATATTATATGTATTAATTAATTATTAGCATTTTGAATTTTGTGAATATTGTCCGAGTACTAAGTAGGTAACAACTGAATATCACATATTATATTTGATATTTGATATGTTGATATGTAAGACCATTAATATAACGATCATTATCTAAAGTACGTAGAATTCAATAATTCAGAAACTACTACTTATAGTTATACAATTGAAAATTGGATGAATCGACATTTTTGTTTACGGTTTACACTTTGACAGTAAAAGCGAACACAAGATACAACTTAAATGTTAAAAAAAYCTGAGTATACTTATGGTCTATATGAGTACGAAAAAGTTCCAAAAACTGTAATTTGAATAAATATCGTTGTTAAGGGATAAAATGGGGGTGAACATGGTTGGTGAATCACCCTGTATGTGTATATATGTTACATATAATAATATGTATGTATATAGTACTGCGATCGCATCGATCGGCGGAGTTTTACGGTGACGACGTCGGCCGCCGAGCTGGCAAACGACGATGGGCATGCGCCTCGGTCGGATCATACACACACACACACACACGCATATTCATACCCACACACGCACACATACAAACATCACACGSACACACAAACACACGCACACGCCTTAACGCCGCACATCCAGTGTTCGTTGGAATTGTGGGTACCGCAAGCGTGTGTAACTGTTGATATATATATATATATATACATATACTGTCAAGCATTACGGTTTGGGTGAATTTTTTTTGCTCCGCCGACGTTTAGTGTTCTTCGAGTCCTCTCAGTATTCGCGCCCACTCGTCCCCCGAAGGAATATTAGTGTAATCGGTGGCGTATATAGTTACGCGTCGTCGCACAGTATCATACGATTATCGGCGAGAAGTATACCTCAGCTACGCTACACAAACCGATACAATATCGCATTTATTTATTATATTATAGTATATTAAATTCGCGGGCGCCGAACCGAATACTCGTAATGTCTTTCTTTCAAGAAGAGAACGATGAGTAAGTTTGACTGTACAATATTATACATTAAGATTATTTAATATTTTATCAACATTTGAACGTACTTACTACTTAGTACTTAACAAAATATACGTATCATCTCTAGCAACGCGTATAATACGTATCCGAACGTGTTCTTGATCGTATTGTTTATGTTACATGTAAAGTAATTTAATATGCTTTTAATGCAGTTGTTTGCCTTTTTGGTGAGTTTTATACATCATGCACTTGACATAATAATTAATAATTATTATTATCATAAAACTATTTGTCCCGAATAATATGAATATATTTCGTAACTGTTCTGAGTGTCCCGTGACTATCTTAATTTTTAGTAACAAAATAAAAACAGAACAATTTATTTCGATTGATACAATTGCAATAATGCAATTTGCATTATTATATAATATATAAACGTAAATACTCACATTTCTTATTTTTTTTCTAAAATTAAATAATTGACTAATATAGCACTAACGTCTAACGATGGATATTAATATAAGTACACATAACTAGTATTTTGCTTACCCATATTATATTTCAATTAGGCACCTATACACGCACCTAAGATATTATATTTTAGTTTGAGTGATTCTCGTAGTGTCATAAATCATAATGTTAACAACAGGTAACTAAATTATAATATTGTAATACTCGTTATGTATTGTGTACGACATAAACCAATATAATAAAAGGAATAAAGTTTATTATAATAATATTATGTTTGGTGTGTGGTAATTTATTAAATTTTATTTAAATATTAAATTATTTTTAAAATTGAAAATTGCATAGAATTATATACTTTATATTGGTATTGTTATAAAAAGTGCATACAAATATAAATTACATTTTTTTTCGTTTTAAAATGATAATACTTATTTTAAAAATCGATAAAAGAAAAAATGTTTTCTCAAATTAAAAAAAAATCAAAAAGTTGACGTAATAATGAATTAAATTGTTATTAATATTAAGTGACWTTTATTAAAATCATATTCAACAAATATAAGATATTCTTAACCTCTGACGTCTGTGGATAACATAGAAACGAAAACCAAATTATATAACAATGGAGAGTAAAAATCAATAATGTGAAAGTTTCCGGGGTTTTTACTAGAAATAATGCTATAAATTTTCACTTAAGCAAACATTTACCATCAAAGCGCTATAATAATAAAAAAAAAACTATGATTTAGTAATTAGTAATTACATATATGTTTATTGTAAACATTATTGTATTATTTGTATTAGAAAATTATTATCATTCAGTAATTACAAGCTCTTACCTTTACTATAAACATTTACTATAATATAAACGTATTAACTTAGTTACTATATTATAATGAAATAATATGCCAGATTAGGTGTACATGATTTGATGACAGCAGAGGACTAGAGGAATAAATTGTGCAAACAGACCCTCCTCTGCTGTCGGTTTTAAATCGGAAAAAAAAGTTTCTATGCTTTGTGAAAGTTTCTATACCCATTCCATTTAATTATAAAACTGACCCTAATAAGCATTTGGCTGATTTTAATTAAGTAGTCCTATGTTGTTATCATATAATATAATATTTTATTAAGCACCCAAACTTGCCACATTATTCAATGAAAGAAAATCATAATATACTAAAAATGTATGTGTGAGAAGGAAAACTATTAAATAGTACTTAATATTATCTACACAGTATAATACAACATTATTAACTGATTGTGRTTAAGATTTAAAAATCATTACCTAACTGTATGTACGTGTAATATATAAATAGACAATAGAAAGGTCGTATCCCTGCAAGTATATACCTTTTATGACGTATTATGCATAATAATTGATAATGTACCTAATTATAGTATAATATAATTTTATAATTTTATTTGTCAATCATTATTAATTATGTATATTTTATCTAAATATAATAATAMATTTTGATGAGTAAATGCTTGAGGCAGCTATTAGCTGTATTTGCTTGCAAAAAAAACTTTTTGGAGCGTTTAAATTGCTCCGATGTATATAGATTATAGGTGATAGTTTCTGTACATTGGAATTATATTGATGCAGTTTTTATAACAAATGGGTTATTTTCAATTTTTAATATTCATAATATATATTTCTACTGTTCAATAAAATTGGAAAACTTGTTAACCTGGAAAAGTGAGACCTATTGACAATAAATTTGCTGTCAATAATTCATTATTATTTTTACTAAAATATTTCAATGTATAGAAGTTATATGAATATGTGATATAAACTAATACCTGCTTTAGATACACTCATAAGCCATTACGGATATACATAAAACTAATAAAATATTATATAATTTATAAACTTCAAACTTTTCTTAAGTATATACTTGTCCCTTGGTATGGAATACACAAGTATAAAATTGATGGTTAAAAAAAATTAAAACAATACTTAGTACATAATATATAAGTATATTTTTTCATACACCAGGTAAATCAATTGTGACAGATTTTGAATGTTTCTGAGTTCTCAAGTTTTATACTTATACACATGAGAAAACTGCATTATTATTGCTTTGTCAAACTAGGAGAATAATTATTAAAAAAAAAAAATACAAAGCATTAATTTATTTMTTCTTTTAATTGTATATATGTTGTAGCTTTTAATATAAAATATAAAAAGCTATACATCATTCCACCTGTAAATAGTGTGTCTAGTGTGAATTAGGTAAACTAGTCTTATGAAGAACGGAACTACAACATACTATAATATATTATATTATGCTYCAAGTAACAAGTTTTATTTCTATCGAAATTTACATCAGAATTTTCAACATAATAGTTTATTTAGTTACCTACATAAACTAAACTAATAAGTAATAATACTGACAATACTGTTAGTTTTTATTGAAAATTAAATAAATTATTGAACGTATTTCTACAACTTTAGTTATAAAATGAACACGTTAACTGTTCTTTTGTCAATAACACTTTTATTTTAAGTTGTCAATTGGTAGTGTTTTATTTTATTTTTTTTACCAACATACCTACTAAAATATATCTATAATTAAAGGGGAAAAAACAAGAGCTGATAGCCTCGCACATATTTAATATAATACTATGCTTTTTTCTGTACACTGCGTTTATATACGTATTACTGTAGTTGTAATTCAATATTCATCATGACCAATAAATTTCAGACAATGTAACTAGTATAGCTAGGCCTACCTATATATAAATTGGTAGAACACAAAGCGAGTTTGAACTCTTAAGCGTCTATCTTCTGCATGACATAGTAGGTAAATACAATAATATAAACTCATCTTGCCGTGTCCCCCATTGCCATTGGTTAAAATTAAAGCACATATGAATTCATATACAGTGTGATCTAAAACCACGTAGATATCTGTTTATCCGTTATGAATTTATGATAGTATTGATATATACTATATAGTATTGGTATGCACGATCTAATGAACAGTACTCTTCGTGAATATGCTGCAGAKATATGCATATTCTGATTTACGTGGTCGGAACGTTTTAAAACTATTATTACAGAAATTACATTATGAAAAATAAATAATAATAACAATCAACGTTTTATTATTGATTGTATAAACTATTTTTGATTATGGTGAATGGTGATGGTCAGTGAGACGTCTTTTAATACACAGCACTGGCGTTTGGTTTAAACATAATTTATAGGCTAATACACTACTACAGGACTACAGCATTATAATTAATATTATTGCATAGAGGTCGTGAATTGCGATAATAAATTCCAGTTTTGACTAGGTGCRAAAATGCACAATATGCTCGTATATTCGTGTACATTGAGATTTGAGGTTGAGTGCATAATAACGTGAGCATAAGCGCTTATATGATTATTAATATTTAAAGTACACAATACACGAATGATATTGCACTTATTTTAATCGAAGGAAATTACGTTGCAAAAACAAAAAATATGTATTTCACTATTTCACCGAAAGTTGAACTGCATCGCTTTGATATATTACGGTGATAGATATAATATAGTTGTATAGTATGTGTAGTACATATACCTACATTTACAACAAAGTTAAATTTGTATTGACTTTCACATYTTTCAGCTTTCTTTCTTAGTCTATYAAACTGAAATTAAAATATAATGCGATAGGGCATGGATATTTACCTAATATAATATTATTGTTAAAACGATACCATTTGTAGACTCGCTAATATTTAATAATATATTTAGGTATATATAAATTCAAAAAAATGATTATAATTTATAAATGCACAAATACTCAATAAAGTAAAGTTTGAAAGAATTTTTTTTTTCATTTTGTGTGCATACCTATATATTTGAATATTATTAAYTACTGAACAATGGAAAAAAAATAATGTGAAGTTCGTTTTGATTTACAGGTACGAGGATGTGAGCACTGTTATGGTTCGAAACTCACATCTAGATCTCATGGATCAAGATATATTGTACCATTTGGCTCTAGGGAGTGGTTCACATGACTTAAGAGCCATGTTCGGTGATGTCAAGGTATAGTTATGATTTTATGAATAATTAATTTTATTGTTTACAACTATACAATAAAAATTGCTATGTGTATCCATACAATAATTATTTAGTGATTTATGCTGTATAATGTTTTTTTTTTTAATTACTCAAGAGAATTTTGTAAATAAATTAAAAATAGAATACAAATAAATAAATTTGATACATTTAATTTAATTATTCAAATAAAATAAAATAAAATAGAATTTTGTTTATCTGTTGAACAATATACATATAATATTATTATAATGAAATTTATACTGATGAACACTAAACAGTAGTTTACTTTGGAAAACTATTATTAAAACTTTATAGTTTCTAGTATAATCACAACATTAACAATAGATATACATTATATATACTACACTATYCTTAGTATGATATCGTTTATAGACAAATTAATTAAAGAAAAATAATAAATGTCTTCCTTCTTAACTATAGCTTAAACATTTCTGGTATATCTAAAAATTATACMTGTTACATATTTCACTGAACAATATAAACTATACGAATTATTATTTCGCCTCTATGCCTTAGTTACAATTTTTAAGCCATTAAATATTTAAATCAAATACTCCTATGACATCAGGTGAAATCACATTTTTAATTAAAATCTTCCTATCGCTACTAATTATGATACCAAACAAACACCGCTTATTGTATAAAACAATTATTTTACTAACATAAGATTGTCACAGTTGAAAAGTTCTCATTACATTGACAAATTAGTTATTATAAATATTAAATACTTATATCAATAACAGATAATTCGAAACACCTGAGTCATATTATATTGTTATCGCTTATCGGCCAATATTTTATACTCTCAGTTTTATAGTAATAATAATACAAATGCAGCCATTCAACATTTCAAATCCTCTGAAGGCTATTATATACCTACCTATAAAGCAAATATAAATATAAAATAAAAATTAATGCAAATAAATTTGGGCAAATCACATTTATACAAAAAAAAAGAATTAAATTAATACTTCTAGATAACTGATTGCTTATAAAAAATAAAAATATTGGATATAAAAAGTAATRAGGCATATTTCCACAGTAATAATTAATAAGTTAATAAATAAGCATAAAATAATCGATTGTCAATTTTATTTTTCCAACATATCTCAATTATTATTTTTTAATTGATAATTATTTTTGATGTATGTTGTATAATTTTGCGAAATGTCTGATTTTTGCATAGGATTAATGAGGTTTTTTTATAGTTTGTGTGTATGGGTGGGACTCCAAAACGTATGGAACAATTCGCTTATCGATTGATGGAAGAAATATCTTACAAAATACCTACAGGTACCACGTTGCAGGACATCAGTCGATATTCGTACAGATACTCTATGTACAAAGTTGGCCCCGTTTTATGTATAAGTGTGAGTATAATATTATTATTGTTATAATTAGAGTAAACCGTTAATTTCTATATATAGAAAAACTATATTTATTATGTGTCTATAATATAACTACGTGTATGGTTTATATCATTTTTGTCATTAATCTCCCATCATCCAAAACCAAACAATCCGTCATTTCGCGGTGAAACATTATTGTTTTTATTTTATACGGTTTTTATTTTTAGCATGGGATGGGCATGCCTTCAGTTGGAATTCTTTTACACGAGATCATCAAGCTGATGTTCCACGCAAAAGTCGTAGATCCTATCTTCTTTAGGATAGGTACAAGTGGTGGTATCGGGCTGGAAGGTGGAACTGTGATCATTTCTGACGAGGCTGTGGACGGAACTCTCCAACCACACCTGGAATTAGTACGTGTGTTATACCTTTATAATAAAATTGTAGTCTTATATAGTATTATAATATTACAATTATAATTTATACATTATATTCATTTAAATCGGATATCGAGTATTTTTTGCACGATGGTCTCGGTAGCGTAATAATAAATTTGTATAATGTTACCCGTGCAGCAAATTCTGGGCAAGACTGTGAAAAGAAGTTCAGTCCTTGATAAAAAACTGCAGTGGGAGTTAAAATCGCTAGCGGAACCAGACGACCCGTATCCTACAGTGATTGGCAAGACCGTGTGCACTAGTGACTTCTATGAAGGTATAAATTATAAATCATACAAAATATTATTAATTTTTATCACATAATATACCACTGCAGAGTGTACTCTGCAGTCCGGATGTAAAGGCTATTAATTTCTATCGCATTATTATCCGCAAAGAAATATGTGTAGACGCCTAGGAACCTTCTGTATGAAAATCCATTGATTATTTATGATATAACTGTGACATTATATGGCCATATTGGTTATGTAATATGTTATAATATTATCAGTGATAAATTCAAAATCATATAAATATGGTAAAATAGACATAKTATGTTGTTTATTATATTTTAACAGAAAAAAGTTTCTTACAGTTCTCACTTATCTACGATAATCAATCACCTGCAGTTTTAACATYCTATATTATTCCATAACTGAAACATCACACACGATAATATTATGAGTACCCTACGTCTCTCAACATAATATGTTTAGAAAGAAAAAATTATAGCTCAATAAACTCAATGTTATGAAATGTTTAGTGGTGTGTACAGATTTTTTGTCGGAGGGGGGGGGGTGAAAATAAATTGTTAACAAATTTTATCTGAAAATGGCTTATTAATGAAAGTTTTGTTATTGTTTAACGGTTTGTTAATAAATGCTAACATATAATTAATAACTATTTCTTTATGATCTTAAAAATAATATTGTAAAATAATTATCGTATATGTATGTATAGTGTATATACGTAMAACCCGTAAAGGTGTGTTTTTGAAATAAAAATCTAGAATATTATAGACATGATAAAAAAAAATGTTTACGTATATTGTAATTCAAAAATAAAAATAAATTATTATTATTATTTGATTCTGAAATAATTCATAAATGTATAATATTCATTTCGTTTAAAAATTAAAAATTAAGTAAAGAATCTTCTTTATATTGGTTTTTATTAAATAAACTCGATGGGTTTTTGAACTCATCTTAATTTCTCAATAGGTAGTGTTATGAATATTTTAAGGGTCGAAWTGACGAAATGTAATAAAAAYATTTTAAGACCTAATGATAATTTAATAATAGTGTATACAGTGAAACCTCTTAATACCGGGCACTCTCGGTCACCGTAATTTTGTCAKTAATTTAATGGTGTCGACCAATTCAGAGGGGAGGGGGTAAATTCTCGAAAATAACTCGGAGAAATTAATAATTACATAATATCCACAACATATTTTATTACCTTAATATAATATTTATAATCAATTATATTTCTATATTTTTATWATTTTAATGTAAATATTAATTGTACATATTATTATTTAAAATCATATGAAAAATCAAGTTACTTTAACTWGTTTTGACTTTGATGCATAATAGTAATTTCATATATCAAGGCATTTTCTAATTCAACTGCGTTGGAGACAATATACGTTTACGAATACGTTCGTATGTAATGAAATCACAAACACAACTAAATACCTATGAGTAGGAAATAGTAATGTAGGATACTTCACAGAACATAAACTAGAAAAATGTTTTAATCGATGTGATAATGGACAGATAAGATTAACTTAAAACAATAATAGATAGATAAATATTTAAAAGGACATTCCACAATTTTATTATTCTATATTTTAGAATTATCAAAATAAAAATGAAATTATCATAAAAGTGTTCGTTAATTAGAGTGTCCCGTATTTAGGGGTTTTCAATATAATAATAGTGAAAATGTCCCCGTTCTCAAAAAAATGTCCGCTATTAAAAGGTATCCTCTATTTAGAGGTGTTCGTTAAGGGAGGTTTCATTGTACATTATACATATATGTATACAGGGTGATTTTTTTATCGAAGAACACTCATACTCATACACTCATACTTTTTAAATAATGAGTGTTCTTCGATAAAAAAATCACCCTGTATATATTTGCATATAAATATATTAAAATATTAAATAGGTAAATAAAGAATCAATTGAATTGTTTTATAACTGAAGTATTATTTCACTTATTTGCATAATAATTATGTTTCTATCGCTGAAACTGGTAAGTAGATTAATATTAATTACATTTTAATAGGCCAAGGACGTATGGATGGAGCATTTTGCGACTTCACAGAAGAAGAAAAAATGGAATACTTAGAAAAATTAAAATTTAATGGTGTAAGGAACATCGAGATGGAATCTTTAGCTTTCGCAGCACTCACGCACCATGCGGGGATTAAAGCAGCTGTGGTATGTGTCACCCTTTTGGACCGGCTGAAAGGAGATCAGGTAAGATCTTATTAARATATCGGTAGTTTTCGTTTAAGCTTCTGGTATAGTTACTTACAAAGGTTGGTTAGAAGGCCCCCAATTTTTGTATATTAATTTTTGTATAATATTTTGAAATTTTGAAAAAGGTTAACATAAAAAATTTACAAAATCAGTAAGAATTGATAAATTAGAATTTAACAATGTTTTATGAACTTAGAACTAACTATAGTATTATATAACAGTAATAGGTACGTATWATTAAGATTTAATTAAGAATTAATAAATAAGAGAGAATAAACAAAACAATAGATAAATTAGCGTAGAAGGTCATGTGGACGTYCACGCTTGAGACGGCGTATAGGAGGAGGGACACTTAGGTTGTAGTATTTCGCGCTGCTAGCAGACTGTAGGTGGCCGAAGAAGTTGATTGTTAATTTCTTTATATAATCAGTTATAGATGGTAGCTGGAAGTCCATGTGTAGTGTAGCATTACGTATAAACCACGGGGCGTTAGATATTGTCCTAAGGACTTTAGATTGAAATATTTGTATTTTGTGTATGTGGGTCTTWACACAATTTCCCCACACAGGGTCTGCGTATAAAATTAGTGGTCGTAAAATTTGTTTGTATAGCAAAAATGAACATTTTCAGCTTAACGATGATCGTCGGTTTATCAATGGATAAAGTATCTTTAGTCTCTGGTAGCCTTGTTGTAGTTTAGAGATGAGATGTCCTAGATAATCATCTTAATTTTAAATTTTAGAAGAGGTCAATTCACTTTAATTTTGAACTAACGGAGATAAACATGATCTACTGAGCGTACAAATTGCCATGTTACGCACTTGTAAGATGAAGACTGCAAATATTCGTTTATAGCGTCTTCTTTAGGGAATTGCAAACAATGCAAACGGACAGATTTTAAAGAGTTAAATATAGGAAATTTTCAAATTGTATGCATGCGGGTCTTGTAAATGTGTACGTAGTAATAAGTGATCATTAGTGTGTTTGTAAATAAAATAGCGGAGCACCTCYACATGCGCACGTACAAGTTATCCTAGGACAGGGATGTCGAACCTTTTATAATAACTGCGTGTAAAATCAAAATGTTTGGTTTGATTTTGTTTGCCCCGAGTGTTAGAAGCTTTTCAGGCCTTGTTTTTGCTTAGAAAATAATTCAATTAAACATAGAAACATGATTTTATTTCTTGTTAAGTATATAATATATTTAAACTTAACAGCATTTACTATTTTCTATTACATATTAATATAAACATATTTTTTTTTAATTACAAAAATTAGTTTTTAATGAGAAATCTGTTGCTGCATWTTTCCAGCTAGGATTATGATTTAGATATTTTAATTGAATACATGYTGCACTAATATCTGTGATTTTCTACGATATACCTATTACAATAATAAGTTCAAGTAAATTTCAAATTATCAGTATAATTTTTTTGGAAGTGAAGCAAAAATTATAAATTTACGTGGCAGTGAAATAATACGTGAGTGTCACAGAGTGACACGTGTGACATAGGTTCACCATCTCTGCCCTAGGATTTGTGATTGTGAACTGTAGACAATTTATGCTCAATGCTCATTTGTATGTACTTTTTGTCAATACTACTGAGTACCGATGGACTTGATAACAAGATAAGACTTCTGAAAACTGATTTGAATTCGTTATTATTGATCTTAGTCCTTAGATCATACACAAGTATGAAATATAGAAGTATATGATTTAAGTTATAAATAATGTGTACTTGAGATCAATCTGGTTACATTTTAAGATATTTAATTTAATTTTCAAATAATCAACATTTAAAATTTCGTACATTTTAAATATTCAGACAAAATAATATATAGGAGCTGTTTGCAGGGGCGCAAATAGGAAAAATGTTTAGGGAGGGGGCTCAAGCAACACATATTTTTTTCATTAAATAAGTATAAGTACGTACTTTTAAGAATTTATCTGCATTTATTCAATTCTAACTTGTAGTAATACATTGGTACATATGATATATTATGTAATAATGAACATACTTTAACATTAACCATTTATTTAATTTGATATATTTAAAGTAATTGTATTCATCTCTTGGATTTTTCGAAAATATTTAATATTTCTTAATTATTGATATAGGAATGTCCCTTTCTATATTCAAAATACTTAAATTGCTAAACTTATCTTGATTCATACAAGTACGCGACCAGCATGTTTTTATACGTTGCATAGTAGAAAATGATTTCTCACTCGTACTTACGCCACTTGAAACATTTTACAAAAGTTCGGAAATTACTTTACCACCATATATAATGTCAAATGCTGTTTTATTTTTTCTAAACTAGAGTTTTCACCCAAAATGTATCAGAAAATATTTCAGACATCAGTGACTGGTCACAAGTTCCAAATAAATCCTTAACACATATTAATCATTAATTAAGTGCTTGAAAATTAATAATGTATTTATCAAGTACCTTGTAATGATTAATTATAAAAATGAAGAATCTTCAAAATTTTATTTTAGGAAAAAT